AATATAGAGAGCTTTCCAGCAAGCGACACAAATCGACACAAGAGTCGTTTTGTCTTTGTTACTCATTGCCAAAAAAGAAAGATAGAATGACGTTTGTGTCGCTTGCTGGAAAGCTCTCCTTACTTGTCTCACTCTTGCACCAGTTCAACTCAGTTCAGCCCAGTGCAGCTAAAAGAAACAGACCTATTGTTTACACTTTACAGGCTTGGCTTGGCGGTCACTGCAGTCGTACCGACTTGTGCATTGTATTTTTATATTAATTTTATATTAAATAATATGGATATTGAACATTTTCCACCGCGTAGTAGTTATAACAACAAAGTTAATTGTTCAGTTCGCGGTTGTCAAAGTAAGGCTCGGAAAAATTTAAATGTTCGATTTCATATTTTTCCCAAGCCTAATAAACGCTTCATACATTTATTTGGCAATTCAGAAAAAATTGATCGTTTTAAAGCCTGGAAAAATGCATTAAAAATTGAGGAAGTAAACCCTCATATGAGAGTGTGTTCGCTGCATTTCAAGAAAGAAGATTATATGCAACCATCAAGTAAGTTAATTTTTAACAGAGAAAATTATAATTTCAGATTTTGTTTAACTTATGTATCGTTGAATAAATGTGTAAATGATACATTTTTTCCATAATAATTATAACGGTGAATAATTTGGTGATAGATGCTGTTTTAAAAAAGAGACACTTGAAGAAAACTGCTGTTCCATCGCGCAATTTGCCAAGCAGTACTAGAGAAAAAACTTCAAGTGTAGCGGAAGCTGATGAAGCACGACGAATCCAGAAACGAATAAGAAGGAATTGTCAAAGGAAAGAATTAATGGAGCAAAGAATTCAAATAGAAAGGCCTGTAATGCAAGAAGAAACGAACAATGAAGAAGAAAATCCTGCAGTTGTGTCTATACATGAAATTCATGTTGAGGATGACCCAAGTTTTAGTGCTCTATTATTTCAAAATGCTGAGGTGCAAGTCAACAAATTCGTTAATTTTATCAAAAATAAAAACGAATTAAGTACTTTAACAGGAATTGAATCTTTTGAAATTTTAAATACTATTACTGAAATTGTAGAACTTGCAGTACATAAAGATAAATTTGAAAACAGTAAAGTCAGGATGAATATGATAGATAGAATTATTATGACATACATAAAGTTAAAACAAAATGCTTCGTATAGCTTCTTAGGTATTATGTTTGGTTGCACAGCAAAGCATTGTCAGCGAGTATTTTATGAAATGATAAAGATATTAAGCAAGTGCTTGAAAGTAGCAATTTCTTGGCCATCAAAAGAGGAAATTGCAAAAAAATTGCCACCGTGTTTTGAAGATTTTAAAGACGTTAGAGTAGTAGTTGATTGCACTGAAGTTTTTATCCAAAAACCGGCAAAGTTTTGCTGTCAATTGTCGACATATAAAACGTGTAAAATAATGACCGGTGTTACACCAGCAGGAAATATTTCATATGTTAGTAGGCCTTATGGTGGAAGAGTAAGTGACACAGTTATATTTGAACAAAGTAATTTAATAAATTTATTGCAACCTGATGACGCAGTAATGGTTGACGAAGAGATTTTAATTGATAAAGTATGTGAATTAAATCGTTTTAAATGCATAAGACCATCATTTTTGAAAGACAAACAACTTACTAAAGCGGAATTAATTTTGACATGTAAAATAGCTGCAGCTAGAGTTCACGTAGAACGATCTTATCAGAGAATAAAAGCTTTTAAAATTGTAAGTTCAAAAATGCCTACTGTACCGATTTTAGGAGACATTTTTGTAGTTATTTGTGCAACAATTAATATGAGTTTGTCCATTCTTCAACGATAATAAATTTATAGAAATATAAACCTTTTATAATACATACATTATCTGTCAAATAATGAGAAATTGTAAAAAAACAAATTTATAATTTATAACTTGCTGCTACTTAATTCGAATGTGTGTTTATTAAATAAAGAAAGTTAAAATTTAATTCTGCAGTTGGATTTTTAATATTTTTTATTTCATTTCACATAATGAGTAACATCAAGTAGTTTATTAAAATGTTCAACACATATATCATCTTATCAACTTTTAAAATAGTGCAACTTTTGCCTTTAATAAATTTTCTCTGCGTAGAATTTGCATCAGCCCAATCACAAATATTTTCCATGGATAACATTATTATAACAGAGTAGATATAACAGTATTTGAAGTCCATCAAAAATGTTACCTATTCTATGCCATATACATATTGGTTAAGCCCCCATTTCCATGTCAGATCCCAATAGTTTTTACTTAGTTTTTTTTATTTCACTTTTTTGATTTTAGATAATTTTAATACTTTCACTTTTATCACACGGTCTTCATTAGCGAAGATAATCATTAATAATTGTCAATTGTCTTGAACTTTGAAACCTACAATTTTTACTTGGATTTTTAATGTTTAAGAATTATCGTACTTATTCGGTCGTAATTAAAAATATTAATACATCATTAAAATAAGAAATATTTAAAGTTAATATAAAAATCTTTATTCCTTCTGTAACAGAATCTAAATTTTTCTTATGTTAAAATGTGTGTATTTCAAAGATAGGCTGTTCTTTTCTCTAAAAAATAAAATAAAACTGAATTAAACTTATCTTATAAATAAAATAACTGAATACATTACCAAACTTAATATATTGTTGAAATAGATTGCAAACTTACCACTCGTCTATCTCAATAGTATATTTTTAGAAAACTTTAAGAAGCAAATAATGACCGATATGTGCATGAGAATAAATTAATGTAATGTTTTCAGTTATCATATATATTATTCTGATTCTGATTAATTACACTTTTCCAAAACTCACAAATTATTATTATTATTATAGATCGACTATCTGTCCGAAAGCCGAAAGAAATTCCTTATCGTGGAATATCTTATCATGATACCACTTTATCGTGGAACGATACTAATTTAGAACTGGATTTCAATAATACTTTTTGCAAATAAGAAACAACTTTCTCTTAGAATGCATACAGAACTTCTTTCACAGCTAACGGAGCCTCCGAACAAATTCCTATTAATTTAATCGACAGAATTGCTTAAAATAGAATTTGTAACTATATAATTTGTAATTCTAATTATACAATCGTTGTCTTTCATCTTTGTGTCCATACGTTAAACAATAAAACATTAAGAATTCTATCCATTTTGGATGCTTAACAAAATATAGATAATACTCGATAAGTAATTAATGTAATCGATTAAATTAATCGGAGTTTGATCAAAGACACCTTAAATAATTAATAATGAAACATATATAAACATCTTGACGACATCGATAAAATATCTAATATTAATGTTATTGGATTTTTATCGGAATATGTATTGAATATTTTATCGATATACGTTTTTGTTACTTAAATCTTCTCATATATGTATAACAATCTTTATAACATTGCAGCAAAGTTAGTTCATGTTTGTCAAATTCGCTGTAAAATGGACCTGAAAAAGACTCGTAACTCGTTTTCGTTATCAGAATCATCATATATAGCACATGGTAGTATGTAACGGAATAAACAGCCTTTATTTTTGCAAATAAATGTTCACTACATTTCATACAAAAATTCAATATTAAAAACACCTAATTTTTTTTCAAAATTAACAGATAAGCTCTATGTAGAAAAGACAAAGATCGAATTTGTGTTTCTTTTTTGTAGGAAAAGAAAACGGAGGCGATGAACCCGCTCCAAATTCAAGTTCCGCGACAAGCAATCTCCAAGAATAATGAACTGGGACTGTCAGGATGATCAACAAGGAGGCGAACATCCAGGAAAAAAGAGCGATGCCAATTGTAACTCGGGTACCATTCTAAAATGCGGTTTCCTATTCACGTTTCACCTGTGGAAAGCATATAGCGTGTGTGGCATACGTTTATATCTGCGACATGCGCAACGCCGGAAACGAAGAGGAACAGCAATAAGTATCCCAGACAGCACGCAAGTCCAAAATCGGGACATAAGACGTCTAAAAGATATCTTTTAGACATCTTTTAAACGTGTTACAAAATGATGGCTGAAAGACATCTAAAAGACATCTTAAAGGCGTCTTATGTCCCGGTTTTTGGACATGGTGCTGTCTGGGATGCTATTATATAAGTATATACTATTAGGTAGTGTACTATTAGATACTTATTATAATAGATAGTATACTATTAGTATATGCAACGTTAGTTCTAGCTCACCAGGTGCGTGATTTCTCAGCCCTCATGATTGCGACACCGATTATGCCCGGCTATTGATGAGTCCATGTTGATGATGATCTCTTGGGCGTCACAGTTCGGCGACTATACTTGCTGCCGTTGTGATCAACCTACAGAAAGCAACATCGGTAAATCAGACGGGAGCCGAGTGATCAAACTATGAAATCAATTTCGCACTCATCTTAGAGATTTAAGCTAATCTTGTCTATATGTTTTTACGAAGTGTCGTTTGCAATATTTTGCTCCTTTACTCAAAAATCGTGCCTACTTGATTATCGAGTGAATCAGTATATTACACTTTTAATATTTGTTCAGCGCCTTCCTAACGATTTTAGCGCTTTTTAGTTATTTCTCTCGATCTGACGCCCGCCGTGCGTGTAAAAACGGCAAGATAATTCATCTATGGGAACTTATGGTAACAATAACGGTTGTTATTACGAATACTCGTGAAAAGTATGAATCTACGAATCTTTTCCATTCGTCTTTCTATATACGCACTTTTATTTCGGTCGTCGTGATTTGATCTCACTTCTTGTATGTTTCTACGAGAGACATAAAGATAAAGAAACGCAATTATGTTTGTTACAATTGAACGGAGACTATTTTGCAAGCAATTCGATCGCCTATGATGACATTAGAATATCTTTCAAAGATCCATTGTTATAATTAATTGCCACTACGTTTGTTATTCCGCTGAATTCACTTTTACACTCGATAAATGCAGTAGTTCGAAGTTCTGTTAACTAATTAATCGATTGTTCTCTTAATGAACTCGGATATAGATATGTATATATACATAACTATATATGTCCTCTCTCCGGAAATAGATAGCTGTTCACAAAGAATGGATAGATATTTATTTGTATTTACTCACCTGAGTTTTTGGGTTGAGGTATACTCGAGCATTTGACTTTCGTTTTTAATATTTAGTGTTTCGCATTGCGCGCATTAGTCTCATTACTTTTCTTGCTCGTTCTCTTTCCCATTTTCTCATTTTTTCAAATACCATACTTGTCGTTAATATTTATCATTGATTGACAATCGTCTTCGATTTACCATTAACTCGGTTCCAGGAGATACGCAATTAAAAAAAATAATCGTGTGCACAAAAGAAGCTGTATTTTTTTATAGCAAACTACTTTTCTTTTCTTTATTTACTTCCCGAGTGTGAAAGATTGTCACTTTACATCATGTAACAAGCTGAACCTCAAGCAATTATATTGATTTAAATTCAAGGACTCTAGCTAATTTCTATTGCTCTCAAGCTTGTATATTTATTGCTGGATTACTTGTGCAATTAACGAAAATAACTTTACTCACTTTAGGTGCCGGTCCAGTCAGCGCCGCAACTGCTTTGAGTAGCGCTAAACTGGACTGCACCTATTATTTATCGATTTGTCTTTTCTCTTTTAAACGGGGAAGGGTAATCTTTAACGAATTTGGCATTGGTTCTCGGCTGGAGGAACGATATTTTCTGTCTCTCGCCCTCTGACTTTCATTCATTGTTTCCTAAGTATCTCAGCTTGTTGCTACGCCTGTGAAATAAACTCAATTTTCGTCAAGTTTGGTCATTATTACCTTTAAGTACCTTTCGCTCAAACTCTACATCCACATGCTCTACAGTTGTACTTATTACTGTATAATTGTACTCATATGGTATTGCTCTATAATTGTACTCATATCATATAGCTCTATAATTGTATTCGTATCATATTATTCTGTAATTGTACTCATATCATATTGCTCTATAATCGTACTTATAGCATATTTTTTAAGTTATAATACTCGAAATTGTACTAAATAATATTGTGTTTGAACTTTTAGAAACTACAAGAAGAAGATGTCGGGCTACTTATTAAATATCTGGGCTTGTCAATTATTTCCAACGCTATGTTTAGGTATGACTCAGGGGTGAAATATTCCTGAAATAGTAACGTTATTGTGAAATTAATATGTAAAACTCTTTATGCTTTAGAATAAAATCTTTAAACTTATGTATGATCTTATATACTTTCACTGGAATCGTATATATTTTTTTCTTCATAATATTATCTACTTTTTACTTTTACCTTTCTCTAACTAAACCCTGGATATTATGATTTCTTAGATCCGGCTCTTCACCTTTCGTCCATGTATTTTTTGACCAGTTCGGAGCCGATTTTTCCTTACTGAAAACGTCAAAGGAGGTCATTATCCGTTATCACAATTTTCCACATTAACTAATATCTCTAATTGATCTTCGACTTTTACAAAACCGTTAAAATTTCGCCACTTATTCGTGTGCTTATAATCTAACAACGCCTTTGGAATCTTCGTTAAAGAAAAGCTCGACTCCGAACGATCCGAAGAATTCGTAGATCAAAGAAATGGCTCGGTATCTCGGATCCGAAATGGCATCTAATCTACTGTTTCTCAAAAGTGTTCGCATATATACCTACTTCTTATCGCTATATTACCAAGATAATCTTTCGTCTCAATTATCACACTTATTCGCCCATATTCGTTCTTTTTCGATTAGCCTGTCTTCCTAGGGCAGTTGCTGGTTTTTTCCGTTTTTCTCTGTTTCTCCTGCCGCAAGGTAAGGTGACAACAAGGATAAGGGTATAAATTCTTCGATGTATTGATTGTTCTCGAGTTTCTTTTTTTTCAATGTTTCTTTCATTTTTATCGAGCGATCGTTTACAATAGATCGGGACATAACAACATGATGTGCTATATAGAGTTATTCGTAAAAGACGTATCGTATACAATAAACACAGTTACAAATTATTGAAGCGTGTTTCGTTAACCAATTAAAATAATGCACAACAGAGAATTAGACATTATATAACCGAATTGTTAAATTCATACTTGGTTTCTTTCTTTCAGCTGGCCGAACAATTCTCTGTCGAGGAAAGGAATCTTATATCGAGACACTTTTCTGCAATCATAGCTAATTGTGAAGAAAAGGGCAACAAAGTTTCTACCTTCATTTAACTTGGTGAAAAATTGTTTAATTAATTTGTTAATTGACGATTGTCTCCAGTATACGAGGTTGATAATGATTGATTATTGACGGCGGTTTTGAATTATCGGTGCTTTCCATTTAGTGACACAAGACGATATAAGTGTCGTTCTGTCTTTATTTATTTCTGTCTTTTGAATTTGCCATTAAAGATAGAACAACGTGTGTGAACTTGTGTCACTAAATGGAAAGCATCATATCTATCTACCAAGGTAGATTGCAGTATTATTTAAATAATTATAAATTATAAAACTGCTGAACCTAATATTAACAAATGATAAAATAAGTAATTTTGACAAATAAAAATTACAATAAGTTATAAAATGATCTTTCCAATAAGTCCGAATGACTTCGGTATTTTCGATTAATTCTAGTGAGATATAAACTTTGGATATCAATTAAATCAAATGAACGATTGTCGAGACACATTAAGAAGTATTTATGTCAAATGTTTAACGTTATCCACCTCCTAAGTCTTCGGGGGATGAAGTACACAGTTCTACATCGCGCGTTTGCCATGACTTTTTCCTCTCCACCAAAAAAAGGATTTATTTACGGTTTCTATTTACAAAACAGGACGCCGACCTTACAGTGCCGTCATTATCGCTTTTGTGTCATTGCTGGTTTCTCTTTAGTTTATTACTGTTATGTTAAATTACGCTACGCAAATCGTGAAGAGAAAAACGGTCGAGGAAGTTACCGCTCGACCGGGGACTTAATCGTAGATTGTCGTACAAGCGACGTAATAATGTAGTGAAATAATGTAGTGTGTATATGCTAATTGTCAAGTATAAAATATGTATTCCCTACATCGTGTCAAGCGGCATATCGATCAGAAGTTCGTTCAACGCGCACGAGACGAAGACAGAGCAAGCGGAAGTGAAAGATCTTGGAAGCAAAGTGACGCGGAGGAAAGTGTCCAAGAAAAGCTGGGAATTAATTGAGAAAATCAAGGTCCTTCAAGGATTGTTGAGAGCAACACGCTTCTTTAAACACATGCGACAATCCAGTCTGAATGCGACTGAAACTTTTGAACATGCAAAATGTGAAAAATTTTGAAGGAAAAAAATACATTTACGTATAAAATAATTTTGATTATTAATTTCCAACTTTTTCGACATTATATATATGTACGTCAGATCAACCTTCGCGAAAATCGAGGTAAATCACTTGATATTGTCATATACAACTGTCACTTGTCCAAAGAAGCACATCCCGGGCTTTAAAACGTCGTCATTTTGCTTCCAGATTCCTCGATTGTCACCGTTTCTCCCATCAACAATCGTATCTCGCATATTTCACTACGAGAGAACATTATTCTCTTTTTCGTGCAACGGACTCGATCCGTTCTGTGTTTTCTTTTTCGCCTGGGAGAATTGTTTCTCTACTTAGATATACAAAATTAATGAGCGGATATTGATTAATTAAGTGATTGATTAATTAAGTGACGGATATCTTTAATAACGTCGCTGAGACTGGGCGTTTTGGTAACCAGCACTGCCACCTGCAAACAACCATAGCTCCTCCGTTCCATTACTCGAGAAATAGAATTAGTGATCTTGCTTCTCTACATATACACAAAAAACTGAACGACCTACTTTATGTAGATTCTTCTATATCGCTACCTATCCACTTTTACTTGCCTACTACTTTTCGACGTTTTTCGTATACGTGTGTGTGTGTGTGTGTGTGTGTATGTGTGTGTGTGTACAATATACGCCAAAATTTCATTTGCCTTCGTTTGATTCTTAAACACTAGAAAAATGGATTTCTCGTAGATTAGCTCTGTAATGCAAACATCTTATCTTCGTGGACAGTCTTTTAAATCTTGCTAACGCTCAAACATTGCAAAAATCTTGTGAATATTTTCTAAATATTGTGCGGACAGACTTGTAGGAATGTTTCTCTAGCGATTACGTTCTCATGATATTGCAAATGCTCTTGTAATAATGTAATACGCTTTTGCAGAACTGCAAATACTTCTTTTAGTACTGCGAGTGTTCTCGTGACATATTGCAAACGTTTCGGTGTACTGCGGAATAGTGGTTGGTTAAATGTCGTTAAATATCTCTTGTAATGCATTCGTGCCTAACGCAGCGTAAGATAGTTAAATTGTAATGCTACGTCCGGCCCTACAGATATACATTTCTTTTTTTTTTGCGTTACAAACCGTTACACTATGTGCAGTATTAACTGTGATTTTCGGTCGGTTTTTCAACAATATGATTTAACTAAATTTCTCTGATCTTACAGTGGAAATTGTAATTCTCAAATTCATAAATCTATCGGAATCGTCTTAATAATGTCCCCGATTATTACGTTTTATGTATAACGAAATTTCGTTAATCCCTAATTATCCAAAAGTCTCTCGAATTTTATAGAATGTTCTATACTTTTCTTGTGAAAATGTGTGTATAAATCTTGTATATAAATGAACGTTGACGTACGTCGTTAATATATTTCTTTGTACTTTTTAGATATTTCTCTTGTATGTTGTATGTTATTATTGCTTATTTAATCGATTTTACATCTACAACCAAATTTCCTTCTCCAATCGACTTAGCTAAATCTTTTTCCTCTGGTCAATGAATTTTTCTGTATTACGAGTTGTACTTACCATAGTCCTGTTTCCCATAAACACCGTCCTGACTCGGATAATCTGCAATCATAAGAAAAACACGATTTATCAAAGAATGGTTCACGAAGAGTGCTGAAAATAGACAGAGGCGAACGACTCAGACGAGAAATATCTGAAACGAGTCGAACGAAATAAAAAAAAGAGCTTCGTCCTGGGACAACAGTCAAATGGATGAAGCAGCTATGATAAAGTATAGAATTTCCACGAGAAAGAGTGAGTTTGTTAATCAATTAAAATTAATTAATATTGCCTAATTGCTTAAAAAAACAATTTTTAAGAAAACTTTTTAAAATTTGCAAATTAAATAAATTTATATATCACGATATTAAATTATAAATTATATAAAAGAGAAAAACGCAAAATATATATAAAATAAAATTAGATAGTAGAAAATACACTGAAAGAAGATAGCAAAGGACATAACGTGATGATGTGATATCTATACATATATACGTATATTTTTTGTTATTTAAGTGAGAAAGAACAAAGAAATTGCACATTTCACGAACACCTTGTAGTCCTTCTGGAATAAAAGATGGCAGGAGGCAGTGCTGCAGTGCTGGTGTCTTGATGAAAGGATCTTTATCCAACATGTGATTTCTTGTCCGGAATGGGATTTGTGTCTTTGCGCAACTCTTTCGCATCGATCGCGAGCAGAATACAGTTCGAAAGGGGAAAAAAACATTTGAAGCTTCACGCAGATCTAACGATATAAAAATCCAAACATCCGAGAAGGAATGAGAACATAAGAAAATTCTAAAGCAAAAGAAAACTCCGATTCTAGCAACGTTGAGATTTCAAGAAATACAAAGTATCCAAATTTCTAGAACGCAGATCTGTGCGATTGAAAAAAATTGACCGCGCGTCTACTCCTTTCTCTGTCGTCTGAATCAGATCGTTTCTCGTCTGAATCGGAATCATGCTTAACGCCTTTATTATGGGAACACGGGTGTCACCCGGAGAGCAAGAAGATAAAAGCGATCTTCAAGAACTCATTTACTATCGGGAAACAAGACGTTAAATTATTTGTCAGAAAGGAGCATTGTGTATCATAATACAATGTTCTAAATTCAACGTTTAATTTGCCGGAAAAATTTTGCATAGAAAGCATAATAAACTGATACTTTACTAAAATTAGTTAACGTTTTATCGATTAATAGTCACTTGAATGCCCTACCATGACTTTGTGATGCATCAATTTACGACACCGTGACGCTTCTTTATGGGAAACCTTTCCGAGCAGATAATTCAATGTTCCATCTCGACGATAAACATGTCCTCAAGGATCGCTCCAACGGTCATAGTTAATGAACTGTATATAATATGAGCGGTATGGTGACAGCGGACGAAACAACTAACCGTAAGGTTGCGTCGAGTAACCACCCCGGTTGATTATGTTGGCATTAGATCGGTCGTCATATGGGTCGACAGGGGCATAACCGCCCCCGCCCCCCGGCCACGCAGCTGACACTGCCTCCTGGTAATTGGCTGGACATGCATTATGTAATATTAATTAAACTAGCTGTATATGTGTTCCGCCGACCTTCAATTCGACATTCGAGTACTCGATCAGTCGGTTGTGGCATGCGTACTCAACCTTGAGTGCCTTGAGTACTCAGTACTTGAGACTGTGTGGTAAATACTGTCAACGGTACACTATAAATGCGTCAATTTAACTCTTCACGACCTGAATTTTTATTTCAAGTTATTATTGCAGGGAGGCCTATATCAATTTTGGAATTAAAAATTTAAAAATTTGGAGGCTGCAGAAGAATAAAATAATTTAAAGCCACAAAGGATTGATCGAAATTGATTAGCGAGAGACGAAGATGTCCAAGTCGCAATAGAAAAGCAACGATGCAACGTCGCACACAACACGAGACCTCTTATTTTGGTATCTACAACTCACCTGATGGCGGAGCTTTGCCGTAACTGTAGGGATCGTTAGCGCCGAATCCTCCTGCAGCTGGAACCGATGACGCTCCGCCGTATCTGTTATCTGGTGCGGACGGTGGATAACCCTGGAATCAAAAGAGACGAAATAATCGTGGATTCTTTTAATTGAAAATAATTAATTTTAAATTAACATTAATAGGAGATCCTATTGATTTCGACTGTAATTAAAAGCATTTGTAATTACTTAAATTCACTTGACTTGTTTAATTAAATTAAATTAAATTAAAAAATCTAGAATGTATTTTAATTACTGAGAAAAAACAGAAGGACTCAAATAATTGGAAAAAATTAATGGCGGATCCGTATTTGTAAATTGCCAAAGAGCTTCAGAATTGTTTTGACCATATTGTCGTATCACGTTCATTTACCGTTTGCCCATAATCCTGGGGCTGCTGATAGCTCTCATAACCCTGATAAGACTGTGTGTAGCCTTGCTGCGAGCCATAGCCACCGCCACCATATCCTACCGACTGTTGTTGTTGAGGTTGTTGTTGGCCGCCGTAAGCGTTATTTGAACCTCCGTAACCGCCTTGGCTACATTAAATTAATTTTCAGTCTTTGAGTTTCAAGAAAAAAATTCTCTCAAACGTTACAAATAAAAACTCCTAAGATACTCACTTAGGTGGTTGAGTGGCATAGCCGTTGGATGACTGGGAAGACGGCTGATCAAAGCGCGGCCTCTTGGAGGGTCCACTGGAGCTAGGTGGACCTCCTCCTCGTTTCGTCGGGCCACCACGTCCACCAGCCCCCCGGCCACCACGATCGCCGAAGCCACCTCCACGGCTTGGTCCACCTCTACTCGATCCTCCTCTGAAAGAGTGAATTGCATTTGAATTAAAAAATAATAAATATAATCTGATATATCAGTAGATTTCTTTACCCGCCATATTAATAAATTTTTCTTTAATAATTTTTATATTTTTAATTAAACTAATCATATAGTGGGTATTATATATATTATGTTAAATAACAATACTACTGTTGTGTTCTCCACTTTCTAAGATTATTAATCTCTTCCATAAAATTAACATACGTAATTTTACTGCATCATATAAGAACAAAACGTTTATTAAATTATCGCCTATCATGTCAACAAACTAAACTGTATTGATTTAAAAATAAATCTACAATGTATTCATATGTGTAATAAAATCTTTCAAGAAATTTTCAAGAGACTAGGGTAGACCGGGGCACGTTGTCACATCGGTTTTATTTTATTGTCTAATATTCAACTTACTGGACATGAAACTTATGTTTTTTTCAGAATAGACCTTTATATTATCTTAAAGTATGTACTTTTACCTACCGCGTGCAATACCTAACCTTATGAATATCTCAAACGTGTCGGCCATGAGGCTGTTTGAAGTAAAAAAATGCCTCCGGGGCACGTTGTCACGAATTTGATGGGAATCTATTGCGAATCTTCGGATGACGATAACGAGTAAAAATATTTTATGTTTAATCACCGACATGATTATTTAAAAAAAAAAAAAAAAAAAATGTGTATCAATAAGTTGCGCATTCGAGTGGAATTCTTGTATTTAGATTAAGACGAAAACTTCGTGCTTTTTGTATTTTTTTGAAATAAAATAAATGTTTCTGTGAAGGACTTTTTTAGATTGCAGTGCACTATAATATATTGATATTTAGGTTGAATACAGTTTGGATAACATTTTGCATGCAATTACATTTGATGTGACAACGTGCCCCGGTCACGGGGCAAGTTGTCACAAGCAATCTGTCGTTATTTATTGTTATGTAACAACTTTAGAGTAACAATCACACAAAATTCGATACTGTCCAATTGAAGCTGAGGGTTCACTCGAAATTTTGGCATATCAAAGTACTCTTAAATATTGAATGTAAAAAATACAAAAAATATTGGACCAAATGTGTGACGACGTGCCCCGGTCTACCCTACTTATGATAAAAAGACTGACTGCAAAAGATATATATAGTAATAAATAATTTTGTTCAGATTTTAATAAACTAATTATTTTGGTGTTTATTAGAATTAGTTCTCTCACCTAGATCCTCCTCTACCCCTATCCATGCCGCGACCACGGAAATTGTTGCTACCTCCGCGGTTATCTCCCCTGTTGAAGTCGCCTCTGCCTCTGCTGCGGAAGCTATTACTTCCGCCACCCCTCCCGCCGCCTCGCGGAGGACCACCCATTCCTAGGGGTGGCGGACCACCTCCAGGTCCGCTAGACATTCCTTCTGGTCTATATAAATGACAATAAAGCTATTTTATAAACGTTATTACTACAAACCAAAAAATTATAAGATTTTGCAATTAATTGATTATATTGAAGTCACATTTCGCGATTGCGTGTAAATTCATCATCAAAATATTAGTAAAAAGTACAAAGTAATGATATACTGATTGCGTATAAAATTTATCAATCATATTAATACAGTTCATATTAAAGACGAAGATTAATGTACAGTTTATAAATTAATGATGAAATTGAATATCTCATAAAATATGATAATTAATTTTACTAGGGCTGCGTTCGCTTTGAACGCTTTCGTGCTGAAAGCATCACTCCATCTTTTTTCAACATGTAATGAGTAATAAAAATAGACTGACACTTTTTTTTCAACACGAAAGCGCCCTAAGCAAAAATAACCTAGGTATAATATAAAGCATGTATTAGAGAAATGCTTACCCTGGAGGAAAATGTCCACCGTGTCCACCACGTCCACCCCTGGGGGGACCACCCCTGCCTCTCATAGGCGGGCCTCCTCTCATGCCACCGCCAGGCCCATTGCCTCGTCCACCTCGCATCATGTTACCGCCTCGCATAGGGCCACCTCTATTACGCAACAATATAAATAAATCCAATTATTTCTTTCATAATAATTTATTACATACACAAGCATCTCTATATGTGCATAACTTCATTAATTTTTTTTTTTTTTTTTTTTATTGTGCCATGTTTCTTTTTATAAGTTATTAGAGTTTATAAAGAATACAACATAGTTTTAAAGAAAGTTTTCTCCGGAGCAAATGTTCCTGAGGATATTAATGCAGTGTATTTATACAGTCTCCTGTGTATTTATTCTAACAAGTTCTTTACCTTCCTCTCTCAAAACCGCCACGTCCCCTCATTAATCCACCAGGACCGCCACGGCCTCGGAATCCACCTCTACCTCCTGGTGCTCCGTCCATTGTTCAAGCTTCCTGTAATGTATTTCGATCCATATATAAACTCAAAATATATAAGTATAAATGCAAGATACAATCAAACCTCTTTAACTCAAACCTTCCTAACTTGAAAACCTCTGCAATTCAGATTTTTATTTATTTCTTACAGAAAATCTCTACAAGTCCAAGAAAAATAGATTAACTCAAAGTATTTATGGGCACACTAGCTACTTGGTTGTATCTCTCTACAACTCAAGTTATTTCAAAATTGACCTTTCCGTGTCTTAAAAAAAGTTTCTATAACTCGGAGTTTAATAGAACTTGTGTCTTTTTAATAAGTTGACACAACAAAAATATAATTATATATAAATATAATATATTCTTTAAGTTATTATATAAAATTGTTTGTCTCCGTATCCCCAAAGCTTGTGAAACATTTGATGAATCAAAACTTCTATAACTTGAATTATTTCCCTTGGCATTTGAGTTAGAGAGGTTCAACTGTGCATATGTATAAATCCAAAAACAGAGTCTAATAAAGCAAGAATATATATATCTATAAAATTTAGGCTTGAGAACAGAAAAATTTCAGATATCACAAGTCCGAGAACTAAAAGGTCAAAGATTCTCCAAGTCATTGAACCCATCAATCCACAAATTCGTAGAACACGTTCAATTCGTAGTCACATGGATTATAACACTTATCCAACCGGCAAAGAAACTCTTAGTATAACACTTTTACTCCAAATTCTTTTAACAAAAAATGCCTTGTGCGACGTTAGTTCTCGAAGCCTTTAAGTACTTATTATAACAATTAAAACTCTTTCTCTCTACTAGGCTGTGCAATGCCGAATTACGGTGCACGTGGGTGCATGTGAATCCATTTATTTGCCCTTTCTCTTTTACTTCAGGTCTCGGCGAGATATTCGAGGAAAAAACGGCGGACCACGGCGTATCACTGTACCGACTAGTACCGACGCTACCCCAAGGAGTTCTGTGCAAAAATGCGAGGACGCGTCTCGGAAGGCGTCTAATTCAATTGAGCGCAAAGCCGCGCGAGATCAAGAGAACGACGCGATTTATCAGATACAGGCATTTACTCACGATAAGCAGGCGGGTGCAGAAACGGCTCATAAATCAGAGACGCTCGCACGGCAAGCGAGCAAAATGGACGTCCACTACCGTGGCGGAAACAGTATTCAGTACTGGTGAATTGGAAGGATAGGACAGATGCCGCGCGTGCGCAGCGGCGTGACGCTAGCAGACGCTGACTCGTTGCAGTCGCGTATCCATTTCTCTGGAATAGTGAGTGCCGTTAGATCCCTATTGCTACGTTTACGCGAGCGTTACTTCTGTAGTAACTTAACGATAATTCTTCCGCGCGCAAACGGGGTTTTGTGGTAACTTACGATAATTCACTTCGCGTAAACGAGTAAAAAATTATCGTAAGTTAAATTATCGTAAGTTACTACCGAAGTAACGCTCGCGTAAACGTAGTAATATATACTACGTTTACGCCAGCGTTACTTCTGTAGTAACTTACGATATATCACTCGTTTACGTGGAGTAAATTATCTCCTAATGTAAGTTTTACTACAAAATCCCGTTTACGCGAAGGAATTATCCGTAAGTTACTACAGAAATAACGCTCGCGTAAACGTATGTAGTATATTATGTTGACTAAAGTAGGAGGTCTCCAATCTACGCGGGCCAGATGCGGCCCCCAGACTTTTATAATAATAAACGGATAATATTATCCCGATTATCCGTTATATATAGATATTATTTAAAAATAAAGATATTATGATATTAATTAATATGTTGCACATTATATTGACGTAAATTATAACAAAGAATTTCGATAATTTATATGAGTCTCGAAAAAAAAGTTTGACATCTTAGCACGCATCGACTACATGTCGATGTTAGTACGAGCCTGAAGCTGATCACGTGCCCAATGACGTAACTCACGCATGCGCACGAGACTCCGTCTGGAGCAATTTGCAGCATAGGGCGGAAAAAGATACATCGATTTGCAAGGACTGCGTGAGTCAAATTCGCATCGTAATTATTCGTTCCCGCTTTCATCCAACCGCGGGGTCATCCAACTGATGTTGCAAATAACTTTATTATAAAGACCGAACATGGACGTAAGAATATCTGGACCGAGCATATTCCATAATAAGAATCATTTCTTTTCATAATTCAAAACTAAGCTTCGGAGAATTAAAATTTTGGAGTTATAAAGTGTCGGACGCATTTTAAGGATGTCCAATAATCGCATATTATACCCGATCTACAATAGCTGTAGTAAGCTGTAATAAACCTCAAGATGCAAGAAATTGACCAATCACAGTCGATTATTCTCCTCACATTCGCCTATAATTGGTCAATTTCTTACGGCTTGAGGCTTACTACATTGAGCTATTGTAATTGCAGGAGCCATGAACAGAATGCCGAATCCATATGCGCATGCGCTATGGTATCTGCATTCTGGCCCATGGCTTCTGAATTTCCACAATCTACATAAACTATGCTTATATATTTTACATTACGTGCACTATAGATTTTCAGTACTGGAAGTGAATATCGGAACGCAGCCGTAAAGCCTTGTGCCCACGATACTAGAAATCGATCTGAGATCTCGGACAGAGAAAAAATTGACCAATCACATTTAAACAATTCGGCAATTGACCAATGCGATTGGTTAAAGCCCCTTACACAATGCCAGGCAACAGGCAATAGGAACAGGAAATAATCAAAAAATCGTTAATTACAACCTAAAAAATTCGAATGCTATGATTGGTTGGCAACAGGCAATAATAGGCACAGAATTTCCAACGTGACAGAAACTCTGTGTCTATTGCCTGTGTCACTGTTTATTCTGCATTTATACATGATTTCTGATTTCTATTCCCTGTTCCTATTGCCTACTGCCTAGCATTGTGCAAGGGGCTTTATTCTTTCTTCGTATATGTACATATAAGATCTCAGAGCGATTTCTCGTGGACACAAGGCTTAATAGGCCTCCAGGGGCGCAATCGATCGGCATTAACGGAAACAAAACCGAAATGATAATATTACATGCAAATAATAGGTCGATCAGGGAAATAGTTAACATATTTCATGAAACCACTAATCATACGCAACTACATCAACTTATACTATAAATTCATTACTTCAATCATAAAGTTGCGAAACAATTAAACATATTATAGTTAATTTTGTAGTCTTTATTATTATTTTATTATACAACATTAAATAAAAATAGTTACAAAAAAACTTTATTTGGACGACTTTAAAGACATTTTTAAAATAACGACTTTAGATGGTCGTAAGGTGTCATTTTTTACGTTGACGCTCGACGCTCATTTTCAGCGAGCAAAAATCTTCAGGAAAAATAAAGTTGTATTTATTCAACATCCAGCGTTGACGCTGAATCATCGTTGATCGTCGCAATACAATCAAAAATGGACTTCGAAATACGTAAAATATTAATTATTTTCAACTAATATCTTCAAGTCAGTCGAGCGTCAACGTGAAAAGGTACCTTTAAGCCCGTATCGTCCACTGACAAAAGGTAGGTTCCATTAAACAAAAAAGAAAAAGAATGCTGTTGCTGTTGCTGCATCAGCTGTTGCGGTGTGCCGTTGAGCCTCGTATTCATGGCAGTCGTTCGACCCCTACAGGCTACAGGAGTAAACACGAATATTGTCAAATGCTTTCAATAAAAGATATATAGATACAGATAGGTAGACAAAAGGCTTTATTTAAGTTTAAAAATAAATAGGAAGTAAAATAATTTATAACGATTAAGTTAAAAAATAAGTCTTAGGAAATTAAAACGTAGAGACATGCAAAAGAATCGAATATATGTTCACTCGTCACTTAGTTTAAATACCATTCTGCATTATGCTATTTGACAAACATTGATAGAGCAATGCTTGAAAAAAGGCAATAGAACTTGTATTTTAATTTGGATGAGCGTAGTAATACATACACAAAAAGTCGATGATTCTACCTGAGCAGTCGCACCTGTTGCTGCAACTGTTGTATTCGTTGCTGATGCTTTATCTTGTGCTTGATGTTGGAGCAGAATGGAACGAGACACTTGGTCTCTTGGCAGCCTTTCGCATGGTAACAACACACCGTTATCAGCTCTTTACATATAGGACAGTTGCCATTGGTCTTTCTCTCCTTGCAATACTTTACATGTATCATCAGTCGCTTCATCTTCTGGCAATTCAATGTTGGTAGATGACACTTAGCATCTCTGCACTGGCAGGCATGCGTCAATGATTGAATGGATCTCTGTATCGATAATTTCCTGCGTTCGTAATTCTCCTATGTTGCAGAAACGAAAAAGATATGAGCACATTATAGGTTTATCCTAATTACAACATGGATATTTTTAGAATAAGCTGACAAGTAACCTGTGGATTTGTTTGTTTCTTATCCGCAGGTGAAGGGTCATTATTCAAAGCAAAGCCAAGTTTTTCCATCGGATGTGGATGACCGTCCTTTTCTTTACAATTTACACATAAATCAAAATTCTGTAATAAAATCGCAATTATAGTAAGCATGAAAGTTATGAAAGTTATGAAAAGTGGTAAGAGTATTTTTCTCCAAAGCAATATAATACATACGTCACAAAGTGTACAATGGTATCTGGTCTCCACGTGACTTTTACAGTTATTACAAGTGTAAACCATGTTGAAGAAAAAACAAGGTGTGCTTCTTTTCTTCTGTTTTTTGGCTCCTGCCTGTTGTCAGAGATCAATATATAAAGAAAACGAGAAAGTAATTTTGTATCTATGTGCACGTGTGACGGGCACTATCGCGTAATAAAGATTTTACCGAAGTATACCCCGATAAGAAAAATCCTAATAGAAAACGATAGGAACCGATACAATTTGGAAAAAAATCTTATCGTTTCCTATCATTTTTTTTTTCATTCTCTGTTGAAAGCGGATTCAATCGTTGGCATACGATAGAATTCTTAAGCCAAATCTACAGTGTTCTTTGCTTCCTGTTTTCTACTCTTAACCTCTTTGCGACTATATCGTATTAATTTTGGCCGCAGGGGGAATTGATCCGCGCAATTTCTTGGGCACAACGCACCCACGGCATACCGAGTTCAGTACACCGCGGACATACACACACAACTACACATATGCAGTCATATACATAATCGGGAGAGGGTTTTTCGCCCCACCTTCCCCTCTCCTGATTAACACAAGCGTATTTATGTGTTGATCTACGGGCGAGATGAAGAGGGATTCTGCATAAGGAATCAAAGTTCAAAGAGAAGGAATTGTACGAGGAAGAAAGAAAAAGAGAGGAATATTAAAAGTACGAGTTAAAAAGGGAATATATAAAGTGGAAGAAAACATAGGGAATCATCGCAGATCAAAGAAAAAGGACTGTTCGAGGAAAAAAAAGGGAATACACAAGATTGAAGAGAATCACGGATTCAAACCAAACTACGCTATATAGCCCAAAGGCGGGGCTGAAGGCGTTAATAACCCCAACCGGGGTTAACAACCACAAAAAAAAAATGTATTAATTTCGCAATTCTGTCGCGTAACGCGATGTTTTTTGTTCTGTGTCGTCCAAGATAAAAATTGACGAACTTCAGAAAAGACAAGAAACATCACGTTTACGCGAGTCGCGATGGAATTGCGAAATACGAAAAAAATACCTAGTCGCAAAGAGGTTAAGAGCATAAAACAGGAAGCAAAGAACATATTGTAGATTTGGCTTTACAGTATTTTATTGTTTTCTATCGTTTTATTGGAATTTATCTAGAAGAATGATTGAAAATCCATCATAATCAATTGTGTATTCATAATAAAGGAAACTCACAAAATCTTAAACTTATCTTTTATCTTGTCTTATCTTGTCATTAAGAATGTTCTGGATCGAGTTTGTTAAAATGCTACGAAGTTGATGAAATATCATATATTCATGTATTCTGTTTCCAAGTTCGGGGCTAAATTTCAGATCGTTTCACAATTTAGATAAAAAGTTATCAATTTTTGAAAAAATATTCGAGTTCTATAGAAAAGTGTAAACATTAAAAAATGCTACCAATATAATGATATTTTACATACAAGTAGGTCATCACAAACAAAAACGTAGCAACAAAATTTGAAACAATTTACAAAAATATTTTTTTCTAATTTTAATAAAAATTTTGTTTAAAAAATTATTTTTTAAAAATATTATTTGTTGAATAAAAGAGATTTTAATATAAAATATATTTTGATGTCGAATACTTTTTTTAAGTATGCGAGGTTCCTTGTTGGTTAAAAAAAATTAACTTACCCAACCGTCCTAACCTAGTCTCTTCGTGATCTGAGATCTGAGATCGGAGCGGCTTGTGAACAATGTGAATTGTGAATTGTGAATGCCCAGCATTGCCCAGTATGCCCGTCCCACGCCCACATGCTTGTGCTTGTTAACTGCACGAAGAGCATCATCTGCACCCGTGGAATTGACCGATCACAGTCTATTATTTTCCTTGCGGTCGAAGAATAATGAATTGTGATTGGTCAATTCTTATGACTCCACATCCATTTTAGGGCCGGTCTACAATGGCTGTTGTAAGTCGTAAGAATTGGCCAATCACAGTTCATTATTCTTCGACCGTGAGGAGAATAATGGAATGTGATTGGTCAATTCTTACGACTTAGGGCCGGTATCACAGTCTCCGATTAACGTGATCCTCCGATTAAACTCACTCTTCGTCTCTTTCTAGGGGGACAGTTAGAAAGAGATGCAGAGTGAGTTTAATCGGAGGATCACGTTAAATCGGAAACTATGATACCGACCCTTATGACTGGCCCGATTGTGATTGGTCAATTCTTACGACTTACGACTTTACGACTCATTGTAGACCTAGCATTAATGAGAAAAATTAATTCGTTTTCGAAAAAAGACGTTCCGACATCCGACTCCGATAGATGACTGATTGTAGATTGGCCCATTCACGTGAATCGATCTTTCCATTGAATTTGTCCATCAGAATGTTCTATGTTGAATTGGCCAATCCGCCAATCAGAAACGTGGGCAATCGGGAACCGACCGAGCTCGATCGCGGCCTATCGCGCGGCCGATTCGTCAAAATCTCGGCAGAGAAATCGCGCGGAACGCGAGAACTGCGAGACTGTGCGAGACAGTGCGCGAGAAGCGAGGTCGACGACCGCGGGGTGGCGCGCGCGCTAGCTCCCGCCGGGTCACGTGACCCGGCGCCGCGGCGATTGGTCGGCCATTCGTAATTTAAATCGAACGAGCCGTTGCACGTTTTTCGCGACGGTGGCGAGACTGGTGTGTGAGCCAGAGCCAAGGCGGTTTGAACAGAAGTACGGCGAGCAGCGAGTTCCGCGGGTGTCCTGTGGATACGGTAGCGTGGCGCGCTCACGGCCGTTCGTTCTTCTTTTTCCCCTTTTTTCCCCGTCGCATCCTCGGGCTTTCTTTCTCTCGGGTGCGTGAGAACGGTTCGAACGTGAACGTATATCGGTCGCCGAATACGCGCGAATCCTCGCCGGCCGGCGAACTTGGTTTGGGAAACGGTCGCTGATTCAGGATCACGGGTAGTCACGGCGTCGAGGTGCGACGGCACGTGCGACAGAACGTCCGACAGCGACGCGACAACATCGGGTAACGTCACCGCGTCCGACGGCGGCACGTCATCGTGGGAGGATTGCGATACGACATCGTGTGACGATACGTCGGACGACAGCGGGTCCTACTGCCATTGTCACTGCCATTGCGCGATGTCGAATGAGGAGGAGATACCGAGCGTGATCTACGACGCGAACACCGGCAAAAGTTACGTGAAGGGCCGCTTCTTCGGGAAGGTAAGAACGACCGGCGACGTCCTTGAGCCTCTCCTTCGCCTTCGCCCTGACCTTGCACAGTCACGCTCCTATTACGTTATTCGCGCGAGCCTCTGTCCCGCGACATACGTACATACATACACACGCACACACGTGTAAACGTGATCCTTTGGCGCCCGACACTTGTTGCACTCGTGCCGAAGACGCCTCTTGTAGAAAGACGTATGATTCGTGAGAGAAACTCGCGAAAAACTGTTTCAGCTCCTCTTTGGGGATTCCAGAGAGGTTTGGATCGAAAATATACTGGCAATTTGACTTGTCTCCATTTGTATCAATGCAGGTGAACTTTAATCTCGGTTTGTTTAATTCTTAGAACTAGAAAAGGGTAAAAAGTACAATGAAACATGATTAGAGTTAATCTACATTGGTGGAACTATAATGGAGAAATATAATTAAAGAACCATGAGGAAGTTTCATGAGAGAAGATTGCTCAAATGTCCTTATCATCCTAAATTAAAACTATTAAACTATATTTCTTTTTTTAACTGTGTATGTGGAGCTTTTGCATTTTTTTATGAAAACTATATTGTTGATGTATTATTGTAACTGAGCAGTTTAAAGAGCACTGCCATTAGCTTCATTGACACTATTTTAATAGCATTTTGTTTTACTATTTTTTGTGTATATATATGTAAATTTTTTTAAATATACAAGATGTGTCATGACTCGAGGTCCATACATTAAATGCTTTCCATTTACATAAAAACTCAGATAATTCTCACTTGTGGCGTCGTTCTATCCTTTTTGGCAATTAATGAATAATAAAGACAGAATGACATCACAAGTGAGAATTATCTGAGTTTTGATGTAAATGGAAAGCAACTATTAAAGGCGTGTTATTGAAGTCATTTAGAGTTGAAATTGTTTACATTGTATAAACATATATCCATAAATGCTTCCTAACAGAACTACAACCATTGAAAGTTGATGGAAATATTTAAAAGAGGAAAGAAAAAAGACATTTAATTTAATTTGTTTACAAACAAGTTAAATAAGTCAAGTTATTTATAAACAAGTTAAATGTCTTTTTTCTTCCCTTTCTTAAATATTTACATCAACTTTCAATGGTTGTAGTTTTGTTAGGGAGCATTTACGGACATATGTTTATTAAACAACTTCAACTATAAATTAGAGTCCTAAATAAGAGCATCCGGCGGCTCGCTTGGTGATTGGCTGACCGCGGCCACCAATCACAACCGAAAGTGATGGTCCTGCAGCTGATTCCATATGCGAAGTAACATGTATTATGTGAGTGAGAAAGATTAATATTTAGAATATTATTAACAAGTCTTATTTCACGTTGATTACAATGATGGAATTAAAACAAAATTATTTCTGAATGATCAAATTGTGTCAGATATACAGAGAGAGTTGCTTTGTTCAGCGGTCAGCTGCGGGCTCAATAGGAACCATGAAGGGGGTAAGGAATGTGCTTCTCTTATTTAGGATTCTAATATAACCCACCTATTAGTGAACTGAAGACATTCATGATTAGTAACTGAAAGGTCCGTGGTTCGATCCTGGCCTTCATCCCACATAGTCATCAATTGAGAGGAGAATTTCCCATTTATGGAGAGGAGAGTATAAGAGGAAGATACTTTGTTTAAGGGGAAGAGAACAGTTCACGAAAAAGGATAACAGGGTATAGAGGTTTTGTGTCAAATAACTGGTACCTTATGGTCAGGTACCAGTTGGAGACACGGCGATAGGATTAAGTCTTACTCAAAACCTTAAAAACCCTCCGAATTGAAGGCACCCCAAATTTTCACCAAAAAGAAGAGAGATACCTGTAGAGTTAATTATCTTGGAACTTGTAAATCCTTTCAAATTACAGATTCTTTAAACGTTAAATATATTAATTACTAAAGAACCATTATTAAAGCCAGTAGGTATTAAAACATAATTTACTTACAGGAAATTAACTTTATAATTAAAGCGTCAGCTTTTTCCTTCCCTTTTTTATTGCAGTTGTCTTTACTTTACTCTTATGTCCGTTGCTTTATAGGGTGGCTTTGCAAAATGTTACGAGATCACAGAGTCAAAGTCGCACCATGTATTCGCTGGGAAAATCGTGCCAAAGTCACTGATGGCAAAAAGCAATCAGAGGGAGAAGATGACCCAGGAGATTGCGATTCACCAGACCTTGAATCACAAACACATCGTTGGCTTTCACGGTTTCTTCGACGATACTAATAATATTTACATTATCCTGGAACTCTGTCGTAAAAGGGTAAGTAGCAGTAGCTACTTTAATTGCCAATTGTGAGTTTACAATTGTTTAACATTCTAGTCGATGATGGAGCTGCATAAGCGCAGGAAAGCACTGTCGGAATGCGAGACACGATACTTCATGAAGCAGATCTTGGATGGAGTTTTTTACCTGCATCAGCATAGAATAATTCACAGAGATTTAAAGTTAGGCAATCTGTTTTTGAACGACGATTTGCAAGTCAAGATCGGTGATTTCGGATTGGCAACCAGATTGGAGCATGACGGTGAAAGAAAAAAGTAATTGTTACTCAAATACACCGCAGTCATGACGAATGTGATCATCTTCTCTGTTCATTGTGATAAATCATTCTAAATCTAAAGATTAAATTATATTTTATATTCATTCTTAAATTCTATTTAAATGTGATATTTTTTATTTGTTTAAACTTAATTTTACTTCAAAATTATATCCACATAAATTATACTCCAACATACTTTGATAAAATTTTTAAACTCTATCAGGGATAAATTAATTTTATCAATTACACATAAAATTTTAGTATATGATTTGACTGATTGATGAATTTTTTAATAGAACTGTCTGTGGTACTCCGAATTACATCGCACCGGAAGTGCTCACGAAGATCGGACACTCGTATGAGGCTGATGTATGGAGTATTGGTGTCATAATGTACACTCTACTTGTGGGTAAGCCGCCTTTCGAGACGTCAAGCCTGAGGGAAACGTATTCTAGGATCAAACAAGTGCAGTACAAGACACCGCAACACATTAGTAAACCTGCCATGAACATGGTGGCGAACATGTTGCAACTGAGTCCCTCAAAACGTCCGTCCGTTGCCAAACTGATGAAAGACAGCTTTTTTAGTTCTGGTAAGACATCAAAAATTAAAAAAAGTGGAATTGTTCAATAGTTATTTTTTTTCTTATAAAATAATTCTATCGATTATATAACAGCTTTTTTTGATAATGTGATAATATAAATTATATTATTTGATTTATTGTAATGTTTTTGTGATATAAGATATAAGTTATAAAATAAAATAACTTATAACTTATATCCTATATCACAGAAACATTACAATAAATCAAATACCTAATATAATTTATATTATCACATTATAAAAAAAAATTGAATTATTTTATAAGGAAAAAAATAACTGTTGAACAATAATTGTTGATGTGTCTTCCCATCTGATTTTCTAAATAAGCTTCCTAGTGGGACAAATGACTCATTCCGAGTAAATAAGTTACATCTTCTTGAAAATTGTATATATTTGCATCTATTCGTCATAAATAAAAACTTATAACTAAAAATAAGTTTTAAAAATCCACAAAAATTGTGAAAATTTTCTGGCAGGATTATTCTAAAGAAATCACTTATGGGGCAAACGGCTCATCCCGCTTGGAAGTCGAAAAGTTAAATTTCAAATTAGACGAGAGAAATTGAAATTCTTTGCCAAAATGTTTTGAATTTTTTCTATTGTCAGAACAAATTACAGTATAAATAATTTGCAATTTTTTTGTCTTTTTTATTTGTGAATGAAAGAAGTAAAATAATTTTCTTATTAATTAACAATTGCAGGATACATGCCGGCGAGTTTACCGCTCTCATGCCTGACAATGGCACCACGTTTGGATACGCTCGAGTTACACTGCAATCGCAAACCGCTCAGTGAGATGAACCTTAACGGCTATTCGGAACAGGAGATTTTCCCTCGAGTGCCGAATAGTCCATCGCGAAAGGCTAAATTTAATAACGAAGTCATTGAACCGCAAAGAGGCGGCAATCTCGACATCAGAAAGATGCTTCAAACGCTAAAAGAGCAAATAGCTGTTGTATTAAAAACTAAGCCTGCTAGGGAAACAGCTTCTTCATCAGGTATGTTAGAGAAACTATTGAGTTGTGTGATAATTAATTTTATTTTGTTTTTAATAAAAGGGGGAAAAATATTTATATATATATATAATCAATTTAATCACGTAATAGTTCTTTTCTAGTGGTCTTTAGTTGAGACTGCGTTTTCAGTTCAAAAGTACCGGCGCGCGTGGTTTGCAGGCAAAGAATTGCACGTAAAATTCACGCGAATAATATTAAGCAACCAAGATCCACTTTTGCCCGTTTAACAGCGTTTTCCTTAATTTAATTTTATATATAATTACGTGTTTATATGTCGATATAGCTTTATCAAACAATATATGCGTCGTTTTGATATCTGATACTCTGCTATCTTTTGGATAACTTCATGATTCCGTTCTCAAAGTAACTTCTCCAATTTTTTGACAGAAAATTACTCTAGGTGATTTTTGCAGATTTCTAAAAAATCAAATTTTTTTCCATTAAGCGAATTTTCTAGTGATCTAAATAAATAATAATCTAAAGACGAAATATGGGTGTGGTAAGACATCCCAGCTCAACTGTAATAATTTTTGCCGAATGACCAAAAAACCTTCAATTTGTCGAATTGAGCGCAGTATTTGTTACATATATATATTTTTTTTAAATTAAATATTGAGATGTACAAATAATTGGGATTAAATTATAATTGCTATATTCAGTATTACTGTATGATGTTATAAAAATGTTTTCTCTGAAAATTTGCAGACGAATTGACTGATCCAGCGGCGCAGCCTGTGATTTGGATCAGCAAGTGGGTGGACTACTCCGATAAATACGGTTTTGGATACCAATTGTCCGATGATAGCGTCGGCGTGATGTACAACGATGGCACGCGATTGATCATGATGTCAAATGGCTACAACATTCACTATATCAATCGCGAGGGCGATGAGTTGTACTACACAGTCAAGGATTATCCGGCCCATCTTGAAAAGAAAATGAAACTGATGAACTTCTTTTTGAAATACATGAACGAGCATCTGATGAAGGCGGGTGGCTCTATTTCGATGAAACGTGGTGACGAACTCTCCAGAATACCCTATATACATCAGTGGTTCAGGACTCAGACAGCTGTAGTGATGCAACTGAGCAATGGCACAGTGCAAGTAAGTGTTAATTAATCATCTCTAAAGTTATGTTAATATGTATATATGTGTGTGTAATATAATGTTATTAACATATATATTATTTATTGTTTCTGAAATGAATTACATTCTCATACTACAACATCGTGTACTTTCACTTCATTTTACTCTTTTGCTTCTGTTATACCTGAAAAATATTTGAGATGAGGGGTAGAATTCGAAATGTTACAAAATTAATCGTTTCTATATGGAGCCATGCAATACCCCACCTGTATAGTTTTTATATTATTCTTATCTACATGTACACTCATTTGATGATGAATTATTTTTATTTTAATTTTTTTATTTGTTCAAATATTTTATTAGTCTTAATATTCTTTGCTTTTTCTAAGTTCTTTTTATAATTTTTTTGCTACACTGTGTGTTAACTTATTCTTTCTTTGCATATATATATTTATTTATTTTTATTTATATTTTTTTATCTGTTTTAATACACTTTAAACAATGAGAAGATATAATTTGTTTTTAGTAGCATTTTTATTACTGTTACGTTGTTGGAAGTATTGTTTGTTACAGTGTTTTTGTTTTGGGATAAATAAAATTGTCTATTTATTTTTTAGATCAACTTCTTGGACCATGCAAAGATCATCATGTGCCCGTTGATGGCGGCAGTCACTTATATCGATCACGACAAGAACTTCAAGACTTACAGATTCCAGACCATTCAGGAAAATGGTTGCTGTAAGCCATTGGCGGACAATCTGATGTACGCGTACGAGAAGATCAAGCTGATGCTAACGAATTCTCAAGCCCGATAAGATCATTTATGTCAAGGAACAACGAGAGTAAAAAAAAATAGCGAGTGCCGCGCCTCTCTTGGCACTATAAATTAACTTGGCACTATAAATTAACTTGGAGGAACGCGACATATGTATTTATTTTCTAATAGCGCTGTCTTTGTAGCGAGGGAGAGAGAGAGAAAAACAGAGAGAGAGAGAGAGAGAGAGAGAGAGAGAGAGAGAGAGAGAAACGGGCGAATGGAAGTCACGCATGATTTTCTTTCTTCCTTTGCCCGATTTTTATACAGACGTAGAATTTTGCTAGGTAATCTTTTTTCTTTCTTTTTTTTATCATTTACGAAAGAGAGAGAATGAGAGTGTGTGTGTGTGTGTGTGTGTGAGAGAGAGACAGAGAGAGAGAGAGAGAGAGAGAAAGAGAAAGGTAACCAATTGCGCAACGAAGGCAAAACATTTTGCGAGGAGGCATCCCATCGTTCTTAGGTGTGCCGTACATATTACTTAACGTTAATTGATCGGGTATCATTGATCTGCCGTCTATCTTCAAAAATAGTACTAGAACCGCAATTTCTAAAATCTCAGTTAACTTTGACCAATGTCTAGGACTCTAAGTGAAACTCCCTTATTTGTATATCCATGTTAGCCTCCGGCCTGATTTCCTTTTTCCTTCAATTCCCATTAAGAATCTTGCAAAAGACTTCTCATCTTCATTAATTCGCAGTGACTGCTTAAAAGGTATTTTGCTCTAACTTTGCAATTGAATCAGATTCGATCAAGAGGTCCCGCGCCGCGTTCACCACGAAAAAAAAGAGGAAGAGCGGGGCGGAGCATAGGAGTAATCGTGATTCGACTGAGTGGTGCAATCTAACGTCCGATTTCGTTGTCGTAGCTGAGATGAGAGACCTGCAAAAGCTAGTCTTCTGACTGATGTGTTTATTCCTCGCTTCTGAAGATTTTCTGAAGCCAAGAACTTGCTCGCGAACTTGTTCGAAGCAGTGCGACTTGGACTACAAGCGATTGTTAATCCCCGAGCACTAGTTGTTAAAGTCTAGTAACAACGGCGGCGCAGATCTACGCGCGTTTATCGAAAGAAAATTTGTTCGAGGTGAGACTGGTTGAGACAAATTTTGTAACGACTTGCTTAAAGCTTAATTATTTCAGTGACGTATCGATAATTAAAAGTATGTTTACCACTTCAAGGAATACAGAAACGAATAACAAATGACGATTAAATAAATTATATCATGATTTCTTTTGCTTTTTCACACTATTTTATTTACATACACTTCACGTAGTCGGTAAAGCTAATTTTTCTTGTATAAGACGAACAACGTAGAGATTCTATATTTTGGGAAATATATATCTTGCAAACTCCACCCTTTTTAGCAGCAACTTATATAGCTTAAATTAGAAATCGAAGATATCTCATAAAGAGTACTCTCAAAATTTATTTTGTAGAAATTACCTTTAATTACCTTTATAGCAAGAATTAAGCATAAACAGTTGTTATTTCCGTGAAATTGCTAAGATCGGATATCATATGGTAAATCGCTATTAATTCATCTAGAAGTTTTGAAGATTTTCTAGAATTGAAAAAGAAATGTGAGAGAAATGGATTGGCAACTCTTTCTGTCAAGAAATTCAACGAGTGATTTACGATTTCTCGCATTGCTTCGATCGGTTAGAAAATAGCATGAAAGAGTGCGGAGTCGATTGTATCGAATTACTTTATGCATGGAGATTATTCTGCCTGATAGAGAAACGACTATACAAAGATTATATTTTTTTTATAGAGCTAAACTGACCAAGTATATTATAACTAAATCGAGCGGCATATAAACGCGGTGTGTTGTACTGTAAGATTCTCTTTTGTAATATTAGATTGTAACAGACAGATAATACGTCGATTTTTGTAGAATTATTGTAACATTGAATCGTTACGAGAGTTCCCGTATTTTTTTTCAGCAGTGCATAATCCTGATTTTGATTAAGGATTAATTAAGACAGCTAAATGATGGATTTTAGCAAATAGAAATCGAAAGGTCTGGATAAAAGGAACTCCAGAACGATTAGGGAATCTCGAGAGAAGGGAGATCCGGATACTCGTGGATTTCGCGGTGCGAAGAGTTGACGATCAGAGTATTTAAGTAGCCGAGGGGTTCACGGATCTCCTTGATAATCCGACGAGCCGATAATTTGACGGCCGAGAGATCGAAGAATCGTCGAGAGCGAGATCGTAGCGATTTTGTGTCGAAAGAACGACGGAAACTTTCGTAAAGATTTGATGTGAACTCTTATAAGGAGACTGGACGAAAGGAGGAGTATAATTATCATATAACGAAATTGATTTAAGTATAATAACGGGGGAACGATAACACGTAATCAATAAGTGCCACTTGGAAGGAACAATATTAGCTTAGCGAATGACGTTACGTTATGTTAAGTTAGATATATAATATGCGCGGAACAATTATTGATAATTAGGTAATATGTTAACAAATTACGATTAGTGTATATAAATAAAAAGAATAGGCAAATACGCCGAGATGAATGGCGCGTTCACGAGCGGGAGGTAGCTTAGACAAAAATTGTTAGGATAATATTTTTTACATGATGCATCAATATACGTATAACGCTGTTTTGAAAAGAGTACGGTACAGAAATAAACTGTTTTTTTCTTTTTTAAAATGCGAGTTGCTTTTTGCGCGCGCGATGCGGACTTGAAGTAGAATGAATTAACGCTCTTGCTGGCTGTTCCACACGCTTGGCTCGACAATCGAGTGGGATCTATAACGACGACTTTTAAGTATTTCGCGCCGAAATGTTTAAAACGAGCGGGTAATCCCTTCGTCTGACCTCATGATTTACCAATCGTCGATAATGTAAGGCTAGAAGCCTCCTATTTCCCCCCGCGTTCTGAAGATCGAACCCAATAGAATTCCTCAAGTAAGAGTTTGGATATCGTTAGACAATTTTTATATTTTAATATTATTTAACTTTTATTTATTTTTGTTAGATTTACTTATTATAGCAATAATATTTTGTACTTATGGATTATCGAATGGGATTTATTTTTTTTTTTAATACATATTGACCAGAAATGTATCAGAGCTCAATATTGATAGAGCTTTCATTATAGGATTTGTGTTTCTCCTTTACTTTTTGTCAGTTTTTTTTTTTTTTTTTTTTTTTAATCTGTTTTACGTTATAAGCGAGATTTCGTTCTCGAAATATTGACTTGTACAAAAAATGTATACCAGGCCACAACGTTTTTGCGTAAAACACTCGGTCAACAATGTATTAACTTAACAATCTGCACAGGTACCAAACTGATTCGAACGTTTTTTGAAAAGCGTACCAGAGATTGCCTGAAGATGGCGGACAGAGTTGTGTCCAAACTAAGAGCTCCACGGAGGCCGTCGGCCGTCGGACTTCCGCGAAATAGTGGCGGGAGGAGGGGGGAGGAATCACGTGTCGCGTTGGGGTTGGGGTTAACCAATAAGACAGCCGTTGAGCCGTGCGCTCAGTCGAGTGACGGATTTTGGCCGGAGTGGATGTCGTTTCGCTTGCCGCCGCCGCCGCCGCCGCCGTCGTCGTCGTCGGGATCGTCACGTACGCTTAACGGACCGGGACGCGTCATGGAATCCTGATAGTGCACGAGGATACCCTCGTCCGAAGGCAGCAAGCGGTTCTCAACCTTGAGCGTGAGTCTCCCCCGTGCGAATTACGGCCCGCTAAAGGCTGGTCACGCTGGTCCGCGCGACTCCGATTCGGGTTACATAAAGGCGGGCGCATTTTTTGACGGACGTCCTCGGTCCGGCCGCAACACGCGGCAA